CACTCCCCACCCCACAGGGTTGTCTCTTACAAAGTCAGTTGTCCATTATTTGGTTTGTTGAGGTGTTTTTTCTCTTGCACGAGGGGTGTGGGGAGAGTAGGGTGGGGTTGGCAAAAGGCCGTGCCAAGCATGATTCCCTTATTTCCACCCCCCACCCGTTTCTTGGGTTTTTCTCCTCAAGACGGGCCTCACGGCTGAGGAGCTGAAAGCCCTGGATGACGTCTTCACCAAAGTGTACAAAGCCAAATATCCCATCGTCGGCTACACAGCCCGAAGAATCCTCAACGAGGATGGCAGTCCCAACCTGGACTTCAAGCCCGAAGACCAGCCCCATTTTGACATAAAGGACGAGCTCTGATGTTCTGTCTGTAGGAGGGTGAGGCAGAGAGACGCTTGGCTCTCTGGTCACCTGGGTCTGAATAAAGCAGACGTCTGACCGGGACGGACGCCGAATGCCTTTACTGTCCTGGGTCACGTGCTCTGTGCACCTGGGTCTCCTGCCCACACGCCAGCCCGGGTGGTAGTAACAGCCTCGTCAGGGTCCCTCTGGGTGGTTGAATTAACCAGTGACTTTCATTTCTTCTTTATTATTTTTCTGTACTTGCCACCTTTCTTACTGTGACCATGTTTGCTTTAGAATAAGCACAGAAATAAACTTATTTTCATAAAAGAATTCTTCCACATATGCCCTCTCCTTGGAGCCTCATCAGCACCACTTATAATGGGGAGCCTCCTGCTCTGTCTCCCCTTCCTGTGAGGGGGCCAGGCAGCAGAGGGCACCCACGAGCTGAGAGCTGAGGGTTAGGTGGACGGATAGAGAAAGGGAGAGGGAGGTAGTAAAGGGTCTGGTTTCCCTCCACGGCCAAGAGAGTGAACTGGCTTCAGCCCGCTCTGTAGTGGAGGGCTGGGGTCCAGTGTGGGCAGAGCCTGGCCTGGAGGTCATTTCAAGGACAGTGAAGGACACCCAACACACTAGACTTGGGTCTGAGTTCATAAGGAAATCCCTTTTGGAGGAGGATTTTCCCCTTTAGTGGACATTTGCTGGTGTCCAGAGATATTTTTAAATTTGTGGTTGTCACAACTGGTCTCCGGTGCCCAGGATGTTGTTGAACATCCTACAATGCACAGGACAGTCCTCCAAGATAAGCAGTTATCTGGTCCAAAATGTCAGATGTGCTGAGGTTGAGGATCCCTGTTATAGACTCATCCTGGAGATTTTACAGTAGAGATGAATTTCTTTGATACAAAAACTTAGTCTTTTATTAAAATAAATAGCAGCTACCCCTAAAAGAGCATTTGTACATTAAGCAGCAGAATCTTCTAGGGTGACTGGTCAGAATGCTGATGCCAGGCCCCAGGTAGTTCTAGAACATGGCCTGCAAACTTCATTTTTTTAAAGAAAGGTTTTTATTGATTTTAGAAAGAGAGGAAGAGAGAGAGAGAGAGAAACATCAATTGGCTGCCTCCTGCACATCCCCTACTGGGGATTGAGCCTGCAACACGGGCATGGGCCCTGACCAGGAATCTAACCGGTGACCTTTTGGTGCATGGGACATGCTCAACCAACAGCCTCAGCGACCAGGGCTTGGAACTGCATTTTTAACGAGCTCCCGGGAGATTGTGATACAGATGGACCCAGAAGTACTTGGAGAAAGGCCACCTTTTGCCTCACCAGTCCCTTCAGGAGAACTTTCTGAGGACCAGGTCTGACCTCTGCTTTACTCTTTAGTGTGTTCAGACTAGAGAGTCTAACTGTGAATTCCTGGGTCCCACTCAGGAAGCTGGGAGCTTGATGGCCATCCAAGACTAACTGGCCTGGAACTTATTAAGCAGAATTCTTTGGCTTGGAATTCAGGCCAAAGTTGTTCATGCGGCCGAGGTAGTCCTCACTAGGACTTTTTACCCCAAAACAAATGATGTAGAAATGAATACAAATGGTTAGAAGTCCTCAGAACACTCAAGAGATGACTCACGTTTGTGCCACCCGTTTCCTGCATCATGAAGCAGCATGTGGGCTAGGACTCCATTCCTTAGGGCCCATCTCTGCAGAGTGGGCAAGGTCTCCACCGTCAGGACCTGGGAGTGGCCCAGGACCACTGTTTCCCCACTCCCCGCTCCTTCTCCCAGGACCTTCAGCTCTGCCCATTCCCGGCCCTGCACTTCAGAGGCCTCCTGCACCCCAAGGGTCTTTCCTGAATGAGACTCTCATGTGGAGACCCCACATCTGCCTTGACCAGGACCAAGCACACAGAAAGCCAGGCAGCCCGAACAGGCCCCACACAGGGTGGTGCAGCTCAGGAGAGGGACACAGGCTGGCAGGGGGGTTTATATCATTGTGCATCTGCAGGACCCAAAGAAACAAACAGATCCTGGAGCCCACAGCCTGCTGCCCGTTGGCCCCTACTTCGGCGTCCGCTTTAAAGGATTATATTTCCTCCTTACAAGACTCAGTCCAGACGCACCTCTGCCAGGAAGCCTTCCTCACCTCTGGGGTCCCCGGCATCTTACACTCACCTGAAACAGGAGAGCCTCATCTAGGGTGGCCAACCTTTCTGGACTTTCCAGGTTCTGCACTGGAAGTCCTGCATCCCAGGAAACCCCTCGGTCCTGAGCCAACCTAGCACAATGCTCGTGTTTGAGAAAATGAATGAATGAATGAATGAATGAATGAATGAAAGCACTGGTACCCTCACACCCAGGTCACCCCTCTCCCTGGTGACCTTCTCCCACCCACACTCAGGGATGTGGGTCTGAATCCCAGACCCCTTCCTGGGGCATCAGAACAGCTGCCAACCTCCAGCCAAGGTCTCCAGCCCAGCCCGCTGGGCATCGCTTTCAGGATCACTCCTGGACCTACCACACCTGAGCCTTTCCACAGCCTTGTCATGTGGGGAACATATAAAAATAGTAAGTGGTTTCCCTAGCAACCACCACAGCAGATGGTAACCAGCATGGGCAGTCTGGGAAAGCCTGAGGCTGGGAGGAAAGAAAACCCTCCCCCAAAGGTAACTATCCCATCCCATCCTGTCCCGTCCCGTCCTGTCCCATCCGGCCTGTCAGGGGCTGTCAGAGCTGCCTCTCCTCTTCAGGATCACTCCTGGACCTACCACACCTGAGCCTTTCCACAGCCTTGTCATGTGGGGAACATATAAAAATAGTAAGTGGTTTCCCTAGCAACCACCACAGCAGATGGTAACCAGCATGGGCAGTCTGGGAAAGCCTGAGGCTGGGAGGAAAGAAAACCCTCCCCCAAAGGTAACTATCCCATCCCATCCTGTCCCGTCCTGTCCCATCCGGCCTGTCAGGGGCTGTCAGAGCTGCCTCTCCTCTCGTGGCTTCCTGCAGACCACCTGCTCTGAATCCTGCTCAGACTTCATCCCTGCCAGTCCCTGCGTGGCTGCCCGTCCCCTCCCTGTGGGGTCACTGAGGTCCTCCTCTGACTGCCTGGTCCAGTCCAGGGCCTCACTTCAGGAGCCACCCGCCCGAGACTCGGCCTTGTTGCAGAGACTTGGCCTAGTATCAGGTGTGCACATTGTGCCGGGCCTGTCCAGACCTTACCTGGGCTGCCTGGGCCTCTGCCCAGGTCTTCAGTGCCCTGGCTCTGGGCCCAGCTCCACCCTCCAGCCAGGCCCAGGGCCTTGTTCTTCCAACTCTCCCCCTCGGCTCAGTCTAGGCACCACCTGAGACCCTGCTCTGGTCACCACCATGACTCCCCTCTGGGAGGAGGAGAGGGCTGGGACTCCCAGGCCGAGATTCTGGAGGCCCCTGGGGGTGGGAGTTGGGGGCATGAGCTGTGGAGGGTGCTGGGGGAGGAGAACTGAAAAGTGTTGCCAAGGGTGAAGCAGAGTGAGCTGCAGACTGAGGGAAGCGGGGCTCTCGGAACCAAGAGAGGGAAAACCCAGCGGCTGAGAGGGAGCTCGGAGGCAGAGCCTGGAGTGGGACCCTGCGGTGTCCTGTGTCCCAGAGTGGAAGCCCAGGTCCCCAGCGGGTGTTGGGGGGTGGCCCTATTTGGAGCTGTCCTGGTCACTCATGCTCTTGCTGTCTTGTTGGTGAGACTTTGGCTTCCCTCTCATCCCCACTTCCTGGGATATTCAGTTTGCTGTATCTTCTTGGCTGTGAGCAAGCCCACCCTGTACTCATCCCGCCCAGCCACACCTGCTTCCTGCATCCTCTACCCACTCACCCCATTAGTTGGTGTTGCTGTGGCCCAGTGGGCCCCTGGTCCACGCCCACTGCTGTGTCGATGATGATTTCAACGGTGGCACTTCACTGCGCTGGGCCTGAGCCATGGGGCCGACACTCAGTGTTTGCTCTTTTGTTTGATCCTGGGCAAGGGAGTATGAACATTTTACAGATGACAAGCGGGGTCTCAGGAAGGAGCGGTAACTCGCCAGGGAAACCATGCCTCTCTCGACTAATGGGTCCTAGAGCTGGGATCCAACGCATGTCTCACTCTGTTCCACTCTGCTCTTTATACCCGAAGATCCAGTCTGCTGGAGGAGGCCCACCCCAGGGCAGGAATTAGGGCGCAGGACACTGGGCTGTAGCAGAGACTCTCAAATTCCTGGCCTTCTCTTGAAAAAAGTTCTCTTGGATGAAGGATGTGTGATGGAGTTCAGGTGCTGAGCCCCCGAGGAAGGCAGTGTGATCCAGGCCCACCTGTGGGAACTCACAGCCTGATGGTGGCAGCTGCAAACCGCCCCAAAGACAGGAGAGGGTAAGGATGGCCATGGGGCTAGTGATGCACACCTGGAGGACAGCTGAGCAATGGCTGGGGGCTGCTTGGGCCCACCTGCCCCATATTCCTGGTGCTGCCACCCAGGTGGGTATTGCAAACCTACCATGTGTCCAGCACTGTGCTAGGTCCTGGAGGAGGGATGGAGTAGGGGAAGAGGCCAGGAAAATAAATGCAGAAAAGTAAATGCAAGAACTGTCCCTGCTCTTAAGGGTCCCCAAGGAGGAGAGCAGGGGCTGAGTTACAAGAGGTTTCCCTAGGACCAGGAGCTGGTGATCTGTGGGGACCTGGCCACAGGGTCCTGAGCAGGACAAGGCTGGGCCATGAGGCTGCTGAAGGGAGCTGGGATTTTCATGGAAACATCTGACCACTTTTGGTGCATCAGCAACCACTTTCACGGGACGATAGTGCCCCCTGGTGGCTGACGCCTGGAACTCTCCAGAGGCTGTTTTGGAAAGCCCAGGGGATTAAGCTCCCCTAAGAACTTCTATTTTTGGTTCCCAATAGTTCCCTAATGAAATGCTAACAGCAGCAGCCAGAGGGCTTCCCGAAGGACCCGAAGGTGGCACTGCTGAACTCCTCTTCCTCCAGCCACCTGTGCTTCAGGGCTCAGCGCTGCTTTCGGGTCTCAGGGGCAGAGCTCTCTACCGCACGGTTTGATGGAAGGTCCCAGGGCAGCGGCCATGTGTTCTCTCTGCCAAGGACTGAGTCTGGCCTCAGAGGGAAGGCTGTGTGCACATTCAGAGTGACGTGTTGGAAAGAACACTGGATCCAGGATCAGGAGGCTTGGATGCTCGCCCCATGTCAGCCGCTAACTAGTGGTGAGATAATAAGGACAATAATAGCTACCTTTATTCAGTATTTACTCTGAGTCCGGCATTGCACCAAGAGCTTTAGGCACAGGGTTGACTTTGATCCTCACAACAAAACTCTGAGGT